GCAGGGGGGATGGGTGGAGGAAGGGTGATTGGAGGGATCACTTCTGTGGTTTATCTTACAAGGGTACAAGTGAATCTTTCTAAGAGTAGAATATGAACGTCTTAACACAATAACTAAGAAAATGACGTGAAGGCTAAGTTAACCAGTTTGATGAAAATATTTTAAATTGTATATAAAAACACCACACTGTACCCTAGAATTGCATTAATGTACATAGTTATCATTTAATTAAAAAAAAAGACCCCATCTCTACTAAAAATAGAAAAACTTGGCTGGCATTGTGGCAGGCACTTGTAATCCCAGCCACTCAAGAAGCTGAGGCAAGAGAATTGCTCAAGCACAATCGTTTGAGGTTGCTGTGGGCTATGATGCCATGGCATTCTACCCAGAGTGACAGAAGGACAGAGGGAGACTCGGTCTCAAAAAAACATATATAAAATAAAAGCTTGTCAGGTCTTTCCAAAGTAGCCACCTGGTGCCAATCCAAGACATGAAGTTTTCTTTATTTTTTTTTTTTTATTGAATGGTAACTATGTACATTAATGCACTTCTGGGGGACATGAAGTTTTCTTAACATCATGAGTGGGGCTTAGAGTCACAATGACTTAAGGTCAATTCTCATCTCTTCCACTTAACAGCTGTGTCATCTTGGAAAATAACTCTATGTCTCTGAGAGCCATAAAAAAAAAAAACTGCCTTGCTGGCTTGCAAGGAGGAATAAATGTAAAATGGTTGTCCAGCCTTTAACACAGTGCTCAGCATATACTAAAAGCTCATTTATGTTAGCTGTTGTTTTTCATATTATAAGATTGATCTAGAGCAGAGATTCTTTATTTTTTTGAGACAGAGTCTCACTATGCCACCTTCCATCACAGCTCACAGCAACCTCAAACTCTTGGGCTTAAGCAATCCTCTTGTCTCTGCCTCCCAAGTAGCTGGGACTACAGGCATCTGCCACAATGCCCGGCTATTTTTTGGTTGTAGTTGTCATTGTTGTTTGGCAGGCCTGGGCTGGGTTCTAACCCGCCAGCTCTGGTGTACATGGCTGGCGCCCTAGCTGCTGAGCTACAGGTGCCGAGCCTACAGTAGAGATTCTTTAAAATACAGAGAATCAACGAACTTAGATGAAAAAGAACATTACATCTTTATTTCCACCAACCTTTAACTGAAATTTAGATTTCCTTCAATTACAAATACAGAGAACAGATCACAGTAGCATTAACAGTACCTATGACTTTGTCACCAGTAGAAGTCATAAACAGTTTTATGTCATGTTACTGCTATTACAGGTATCTTTAAATATTTTTACACTTATCATTACTTGGAAGTTACCATGGTTATCAGAACTGCATCAGGATCTTCTTATTTATTACAATAATAAGAAGCACTTATATAACTATGCCAGCTCCATCTTTCATCTTTTATTCTCCAGTAACACTGCTTTGTAACCCACACTCACTACCAGCATACACACTGTTCTCACCCCCAGGCCTCTGTTCACTAGTCTATCTAGACAGCCCATCCCTCTTTCCAGAGGTAACCTCTCCTCCACAGCACATAAGGATTCCGTCATCTTTTACCAGTTGTACTGTCTTTTTTTTTTTTGAGACATAGTCTCACTATGTCACCCTCGGTAGAGTGCTGTGGCATTACAGTTCACAGCAACCTTAAACTCTTGGGCTTAAGGAATTCTCTTGCCTCAGCCTCCCAAGTGGCTGGGACTACAGGCACCCACCACAACATCCAGCTATTTTTTGTTCCAGTTGCCATTGTTGTTTAGCTGGCCAGGCCAGGTTCAAGCCTGCCACCCTCAGTTTATGTAGCTGGCACCATAAACACTGTGCTATGGGAGCCGAGCCACCACTTCTACAGTTTTTGTCTGTCTACATATATTTCTGCTGCTAGACCATGACGTCTTTGGGTACGTGGGCAGTATCTTATTTCCTGTGAATCCCTCCCCCCACACTAAAGCCGTACCTGGCAAGGGCAAGGACAGAGTGAGTGACTGTTGAACGACTCCATCTGAGATAGAGGTACCCCTTCTCTTCCCTTTCTGCTCCACCCGGAAAGCCACTGGCTCTGTCTGGAAATGGAGCTTCCCTCTGCTGAGTTTATGCAAGAACATTTTGCTGCTTGGAATCTCTCCATCCAACACAATATATGTCAGCAAAGCAAGGCTTCACAGAGGGGAGCCAAGGTAGGCCTGCCCAGTCAGCCTTCTCCTGTGAAGGTATGCAATGTGCTACCATAAGCTGGACTTGTATGTGAATACATGGTAGCTCTCTGAATTCTATCTTTGAACTACCTAGGGTTTTTTTTAATATCTCAATTATATTTGCTCTTGATCAGCCTGGATGTAGTATGCAAAGTTGTACTGAATTATTAACAATGCTGCTTGAGAGCAAGGACTACAACAAGGGAAATGTCAAGGGGACAAAATCTTGAGTTTAATGGTGCCAAATGTCAAAAAGGAAATACTTCCACCAGGGCCTTGTCCCAAGGTTATGCACAAAGATAAGAGAACTCAGGCAGATATAGAAGCAAAAGGCCCCACAGTTCTCAGAACACAACTTAAACAAACATTTATGGATCTAATATATTTTGTTATAACATTTAACATAAAATAATTATAAACAAGAGGAAAAATCATAAACACTGTAATTAAAAAACAATTTAGTAGGCTATAAGTCTACACAACACAGATGAAATTTCATATTCTACTACCTCCTCTGGCTTTTACCCAAGAACATTAAAAAAAAAAAAAAGACAATGAAGAAGTAGAAGAAATAGGGAAATTAGTGCATCTAAAGGACTGGCTTTTGAGAGGAGAAACAGAGACTCCAGTGAAAACACAAGTACCCTATGCTCAGTTGTGCAGGTCTGGTCAGTGACCTTCAGGGCCTCTTTCAACCCTGACCTTGGGAGCCTGCCAGGAGCCAGGGATACTGCTTGTTTCTGCCTTTCTGGCTACTACAGTAGGCACCCCTTCCATTTCCCCTGAATTTGGGGCCCATATAAAACCCACAGGGACTTGGGAACTGGAGGTAGTGGCTGCCCTTTGCTCCTAATCACAGGGTTCATGCTTGTGACACTTGGAGAAAATTTCAAGTTTATGTAAGTCAGTATCTGCAGGGACTCAGGCAAGCAGAGATCCGCTAGAAACAGAGTGACCCTGGCCCTAAACGATTGGTGTCCCCCGTCTATAACTTGGCCTTGGGGCTCTCTTAATACAGGAGACCTCCTGTATACACACTGTGAGTTTCACCAAGAGGCACCTCTGGTACCTCACAAAGCTGACTCTTGTGACGCAGGCAGAGACGTTTCCCGGCTTGGGCACAAGATGGCAGTACACACTGATTTATTTCTTAGGTCTCGCGGGCTTCTCAAGGAAGCAAACTGAAGTGGGGGTGGGGAAATCATGGGTGAAATTGAAATCTATTCGAATTTTAGATGAAAACCGAACATAGTGCTAATTTAAAATATTTTTAAGAACTAATAATTATTGAATCCTACACATTCAAGGTAATTCTAGTCTCTGATTTTCAAGACACCCGGAAAGATAACCACTTTGAAGACCGAGTACATCTCTACATCTCACCAAGCTGGGATACGACCTAGGGCACCATAGATCTGCCCTTTCGCTTCACCTCAGTTCCTGAGTCACCCTCTCTTCAGAGCCAACAATCTCCCGACCTACACTTTCAAGACACCCTACTGCCTGTTCCAAGGCCTTTCAGGCCCGTCTCTTGAAAGGCCAAGGACAGATGATGTTCACCTAAGGTGCCAAGTGGGATTCAGTCAAAGAGGGGAGAGCAAGTTTGGGGGAATAGTAGAAGGTAAGTGAAGTGAGGGTAGTAAAGGGAAAATAAGGGGGAAAAAAGAGGAAAGGGGGGAAGGGGAAAGGGGGGAATAGAGAAGGGGCTGGAGGAGAAAAGAAATAGAGAAGGGGACGGAGGAGAAAGTAGAGGAAATGGGTAAAGTAAGAAAAAAAGGAAAAGAGGGGGAAAATAAGGGAAATAAGAAGGCACGGTGGCTCAGGCCTGTAATTACAACACTCTGGGAGGCCAAGGCGGGTGGATCCCTTGAGTTCAGGAGATTTGAGGCCAGCCTGAGCAAGAGCGACACCTCTCTTTAGAAAACTAGCCGAGTGTTGTGGCAAGGACCCTGTAGTTCCAGCTACTCACTCAGGAGGCTAAGGCAAGAGGATCTCCTCAGCCCGGGAGTTTAAGGTAGCTGTGAGCTATGACCCCATGAACTCTACCCAGGGCTACAGAGTGAGACTGTCTCAGACGGAGACAGAGACGCGGAAGGGTGGGAAGCCTCCTCGAAAGCTCGCACTGTAGGAATCCAGGAAGGGGACTCCTCACATGGAATTCACACAAGAGGGGACAGAGTCGGTGTGTGCCGGGGGAGGGAAGGTACGATCGGTGAAGAAGGAAGAAAGGGGCAGAAACTAAACAGTATGGGCGTTCTTACATGAGTTTGGCTTAAGGCATTTATTGGGTACCCCAGATGTGTGCCTGGCACTCTGACTCTGCACAGGCAACCGTTTTCTTAGCACCCTCCCAAGCCGGCTTACGGAAGGTGCTAGTTTAAGGCCAGGACGCGACAGGCTTTAGAGCACCGCATCTCTCCTGTAGGGGGACCCGTCCGCGGTGGGACTAGAGACATCGTGCCCTCGCCGAGCTCAAGACCCGATCGCAGACGCCAGGAAATAAGGAGGCGCGGCGACCGGTGAGGGCTACTCTCAGGTCTGAGGCTGTGTATGTGCTGAGCCTGAGTCGAGGCGCGGGGTGCGTGGGGTGCGCGGGGTGCTGGAAAGCCGGCCGCGAGGGTTCGAGAGGCAGCGTGGGTGCCCGGACGCCAGCGGGCGGGGCGGGGGGCAGGACCAGCGCTCGGGCCCGCGCCCGCCGGCCCGCCCGCCCGCTGACGGGGGAAGCACCGGAGGAGCGTCCTCCGCCGGCCCCTCTCGGGTAATTTAAATGCTGTCACAGCCGGTGCTGGCTCCCGTGCGTGTAGCTCTCTCGCTTGCTCTCGGTTCCAGCTACCGCTCAGCCGGCACAGCCCAGGGAAGCCCAAGAGCCGAGAGTCGGGGAGGGAGGCGGCAAAGAAGGGAAACAGCGAGGGCACGCCCGGGTTCTCCCTCTGCCCTGCTCCAGCCCTTCCTGCCGCCACAGGTCCGCCCTGAGCCTCACTCGCACTTGGGAAACTTATGCTCTGGGGCAGCGAGTGGCTCCTGAGCGGGGGCGGCCCGTGCTTCGGGGGAGGAGGTGGAGGAAGAGGAGGAAGTGAGCCCGAGGGATCAGCTCAGAGCTGTTTGTCCAGCTGTTTCTATTCGCACCCCGAGAGCACCACAGCTAGAAGGGGGCCGAGCCCAGGGTGGCTAGCTTTAGGCGCTAATTTCCAGCTCCTTTCATAGCTTTGCTTTTCCAGGCACCCTGGAGTCCCCTCAAAACAACCCGGCGGGCACGCACCTGCCGGACGTCCCTGACGTTCCAGGCAAGAAGACCCCTGAGCCTGAGAAGATGGCCCAGGCCAAGAGCGACTGCCGCTCACCTGTGGGTCTCGACTGCTGCAACTGCTGTCTGGACCTGGCCAACCGGAGCGAGCTCCAGCACGGCAGTAGCGGGGAGAACAACAACCCCGGCAGCCCCACCGTGAGCAACTTTCGGCAGCTGCAAGAGAAATTGATCTTCGAGAATCTCAACACTGACAAGCTGAACAGCATAATGCGGCAGGATTCGCTAGAGCCCGTGCTGCGCGACCCCTGCTACTTGATCAACGAGGGTATCTGCAACCGCAACATCGACCAGACCATGCTTTCCATCTTACTCTTCTTCCACAGGTGGGTGGCTGGGCACGGGTGGGTATGCGGTCCTGGCTTGCAGCAGCCTCTGCTGCACCCTCACCTCTGACAAAAGGGGCAACCAGGAAGTTCACAGGATGGGGGTATTGGGGAGGACAGGCTCACACAGGCCTGGCAGGTGCAAGCCCTATTTTGAAGGGTGCAAAGGTTTTCCAAGGGGGATGCTGATGGACAGAAAGTGTGCAGATCGCGGACAGAGGTAAGTGGCACTATGCACTTCTCTGGCGCATGCATTTCTACAGCCCCTTTAGAGAGAGATTTTTGCCATGGGGGTCCCCGCGAGATTCCAAGTTACATCCCTCTCAAAAGCCCATTTGTAAATGTGCAAAGTCAGATTGAAACTGCAAGGGTTTTAAACTTACTGGGTGGCCCTGACTGACAGTGAGAGCAAGCAGAATATCAAGACACATAATGCAGCTGATGGTGGCGGTTGGGAATAAAAAAAATCCAAGACCTGTGAGAATTTCTTGAGATCCTCCATGGGGGTATGCACCTCCTCCATGGATCACAGCCTTTGATTTCAAATGTAGGCGAAAAGCAACCCCAGAGAGCATCTTAGGACATCTCTCTGAGCACCTCAAGAACTGTGTGTGGCAGGAGGGTGGGTGACTCCATGTCGTCGTGGCGGGCGAGTGTTGGAGGGCAGGTCAGACTTTCTAGAAATCTTGCTGGAGAGGAGAGGAGAGAAACAGAACGGGAAAACCTAAGGTGGCTGCAATCCTTGACTGAGATGCTATGGGAAGAGCCGTCCTCAGGGAACAACTGAGACAATTTAGAGGCAGGGGAAGGAACTTCAGGAAACCCATCATGGGTTCGGTGTTGTTAGCGCCACTGAGACAGGGCACCTGTGTGTGTGTGTGTGTGTGTGTGTGTGTAAGAGGGTGGATTTATTTTTGCTCAACGACTAAGGTTATATAAGAGAAAGACATGACTGCTGTGGCAGACCTGGGTTGTAATCCAAGTGATAGCTCTGTCTCTCTGTAGGAGCCCGAGCAACTTGCCTGACCTCTCTGGTCTCTCTAAGGTCTCTCCTGCAGTTCTAGGTTATGGGCAGTAGTGTGCGCAGACAAATTGATAAGAAATTCTGAACACTCACAAAATATTTGGGTGACAGTGAGGCTAAACTAGGTTTTGTTTTGTTTTGTTTTTTTTAAGACAGAGTCTATCTATGTCACCCTCGATAGAGTGCCATAGGGTCACACTCACAGCAACCTCAAACTCTTGGGCTTAAGTGCTTCTCCTTACCACAGCCTCCCAAGTAGTTGGGACTACAGGTGCCTGCCACAACACCTGGCTATTTTTTTGTTATAGTTGTCATTGTTTAGCAGGCCTGGGCTGGCTTCGAACCCGCCAGCCTTGGTGGTGTATGTGGCTGGTGCCATAACCACTGTGCTACGGGCGCTGAGCCTAGAATAGGAAATTTTAATAGCAATCGGATAGACAAATGCAGGCAGGACAAGCAGGGCTGCGGACTTCATTAGCATCATTATTAACAAGTTGTATTCATCAGGCATTTTTAATGCCATTGCAGCCCTTTCCCATCTATTATTTCACTTTGGGCATCAAATTATCTCATTGTCTAAAATAAACCAGGCCGTGGATGGAACAGGTTTCAAGGGAATCTTCATTTCTGGCGAAAGATTACTCCAAGTGTATTCAGGCCAGAGCCGCTGGAAACCCTGCCGAGCTAAGTCCCTGGCAGGTTCCTAACGATCCACCCATCTCTGTTGGAGAGTAGCAGCGGGGGAGGGCTAGCAGAGAAACCTAGAAAGGACCCTTGAAGCATTTGCATTCTTTCAACTGGGCCTAGGAGGGTTAGACCTTGGTGAGTGAGGTGTAAGGCTGAGATTGAAGTGTTCGCTTGTGCTACATGGGGGAGGGGGGAAGTCCGGGATTGGGGAGGGATGTCCTTGATTGGGTTTTTTGGATCAAAAGACCTTTGTCTTCCCTACTCCACTGATACCAGTTTATGGACACTTGCTTCCTGGAAAGCCTAGAAATGCTACAGGTTGGCAATGGGGACATTGAAGGACAGGGTGAGGTAGGAGGGTGAACTTATTAGAAGGGTATGCCTGTGCCTCCTGGGATCACAGCAACTCAGCGTCCCAAACCACTGAATAGCAAACCAGCAGATTGTCAGGCTTCGTGGAGGCTGGGAAGTGATAGGGCCCTGTGGTTATAGACCTATCCTTCTAGCAGGACAAAGCATTCTCTCATTTTCCTGGACAACTAGGACCTTACAGATTGTAGATTCTGAATTCAGTTTAGGGTTTGTGGGGAATGACGTGCTCATTAGCAAACTAGGAGACATGACTACTGATCATGGGGAGTCTCCCATGTCTTGGGGTGAACAGCCTTCTCAGTGAACATTTCCTTTCTGTTTGTTT